AGGGACCGATGGTATTTATTCTGTGAGCTTAACCTATTTTATAACCAGAGAATACAATTATATCTCCAATAGACATACGAATAGATTTCTTCTACAGCGAAAGATTCTAAGCCACACCGACTGATTGACTCGTCCCGTATGAAACAATTGAGTCACTAGTGAGATTCTGCAAAATGAAAATGCGTACAAACTTTCGCTCTACATCATGAAGTGCGAAACTTCGCACCTTTGGACGCGAAACTTGCAGGGAACGTTAAATGAACTGTCGTAGGAAATTTCGTGAGATCGGGTCATGGCGTACGTGCACTTGGCCCGCGCAAACTACGAAAATGTGCAGAACGCAAAGTTCGTGCAAAAATTCGCGCACACTTTCCCAAGGACTGTCGCGAAACTTCGTTCGAATTTTCGTTTTGCAGAACCTCTCTACTGAACGTTTCTTTAGCAACATAATGGCAACTGAACAGCAACAGAGAAAGTACGATACATGTACTCCACATTCTTACAGGTACTACAACCCGTTTGCAGATCGTAATTCTTGCTTTGGCGGCACGAAACATTTAGAAAAGCGATCCTGTCAGCTTTTCTATTATTGTGTTCACATGGCAGAAAAAACGACACCGCTATGCTACGTAAGTTTCTACGTAAGGTGCTCGGTATTTCACTTAGGCTACGTAAGTCTCTACGTAAGGTGCTCGGTATTAGATCTACCAACGCGTGGTAGCCGTGTGCTGTGCACGTGCACGGCAGACATTGTGTTCAGTGCATGCAGTCCGCGGATCCGTGTTCGGATGTGCATGCGCGAGGAACTTCCTTCTTTGGAACTGCTTCTTGCATGCATGAGCTGTTTCGGATATTTCGTCTCATGGCCTGGCTTATTTCGTTTCGGCGCTGCTGAGACCTCCTTTCGCGGAATATTACTCAATGACAGGTGAGTTGACCAGTTGCCTTTGATTCATTTGCTTGTGTTGACTCTTTCATTCAGGAAAAGTGTGCTGATTTTGGGGCGGAATGCAATAAATAATGGAAAAGTTGACAGGATCTCTTTTCTAAATTTTGCTTTTCTGCTGCCGAGCTGCGAGGCCTCCTTTTACGGAATACTCGATGACAGGTGATCTCTAAGTTGACCGGTTTCCTTCAATTCAGTTGCTTATGTTCACCTTTCATTTACGGAAACGTGTGCTGATTTTATTCGGATTTAGATCCATTTTTATCTCTTTGCCCTTGTCTGCAGTGTGCGAAGAACGCGAGTTCAACTTCTTGACGGTAAGGCTTATGTTAGATGTGTTGTCGAAATACTCATATTCATTGTACATTGGTACGTTACAAGTAAGGCACTGGTCAGTGGCATACTATCGTTGGCAGTTCCCAATCTGGAGGGAAAGGTTCAAGTACCAATTGACCGAGTTTGCAAAATAAATTCGCATATCAGGGGAAATCTCTATTGTGGAGAGGTTCAGTAACTTGTTTGTTTCATACGAAACAAGCCAATGGGTGCAGTCTCGTCTCGTGAAAATCTCGTACTTGTATGATTGGATTTGTTTACTCAAGTCTGGGCTGTTTGATTTGTGAGTACCGCCGAGATTGCACTGCCTCAAATAAAGTTTCGTGCCGCCAAAGCAAGAATTACGATCTGCAATCTGTTTGTAGTACCTGTAAGAATGTGGAGTACATGTATCGTACTTTCTCTGTTGCTGTTTGAGTTGCCGTCATGTTGCTAAAGAAAGGTTCAGTAGAGAGGTTCTGCAAAACGAAAATTCGAACGAAGTTTCGCGACAGTCCTTGCGAAAGTGTGTGCGAATTTTTGCACGAACTTTGCGTTCTGCACATTTTCGTAGTTTGCGCGGGCCAAGTGCACTTACGCCATGACCCGACCTCACGAAATTTCCTACGACAGTTCATTTCGCGTTCCCTGCAAGTTTCGCGTCCAAAGGTGCGAAGTTTCGCACTTCATGATGTAGAGCGAAAGTTTGTACGCATTTTCGTTTTGCAGAATCTCCCTAGTGACTCAATTGTTTCATACGAGACGAGGCAATGAGTTGGTGTGGCTTAGAATCTTTCGCCGTAGAAGAAATCTATTCGTATGTCTATTGGAGATATAATTGTATTCTCCGGTTATAAAATAGGTTAAGCTCACAGAATAAATACCATCGGTCCCTTGGTGTTCGTCCTAAAGAGGTTCGACTGGATATCATTCATACTCACCAAAAGATGTGTAAGATTTTATTATTGTGGAGTGCCTTGTTTATCTCTCAGTACCTCCAACCATAGCCTTGTACCTTTTCTCCTCAGGATCAGTGTAGTTGTTGGAACGAGGTTTTGGACTCAGCAATGTATTCGTTTACATTTTAATACATGTTTATTGTTCCTCCTTTGCTGTGTTGTTTTAGACAATCGTGGACTAACAGTTTGAAGTCATTGAACTACTTCCAAAAGTTGTATCGACATCAACAGGATTACGATTTCAGTTTCAACATGATGCTGGATGACCTTATCACGATAACCCATGACTATAAACCATTATAAACACAGAATCAACAAAAACATTTGCGACACGCACCTGCCGCATGGCTACATTTCTCAAATAAATCTGATTGAGGGTGGAGAAATCTGAAATATCTGAAAGGCAAGACAATTTTATGACAGAGTCATGAAATTCTGCAACAGCAACATGCACAGAATGACCTCCGTATAAAAAAAGTATAACCACCACTGCATGCTCACATGTTTACCCGCAGAAGAACATGCATTATGCTAGTGCCATTTTCTGCAAGAAAAGGCTTGCACATCAATGCGTATAATATGGTATTGATATGATGTGAAGGCCATCATTTACATATTGATATAGGGCATTCCATTGATTGGTGACAGAAAAAACAAAAGAAATTATAGCAATAAAAACTGCTTTATGGCAGTTTTCTAAAAAAAGTTATTGTGTTCTAGTCCATGGACCCCGTCTAAAAAGTAAGAAACTAACGAAATGTGATAGCTGAAAATTAAAATTTCACACAAAACCTCACAATAATCACACACAGAATGAAAAGCTACATGCAGAAGACCTCTTCCCCTCGCGATCCTCTTTCCTATGCATGCATGTTGCCAATTGTTGGTGCAGTACAAGTTTAGTGTTGAAAGCAGGGAGTAGTATTGTACTACTCCCTGGTTGAAAGCAGCATTTCAAGTGTTGTGATTATTGTGAGGTTTTGTGTGAAATTTTAATTTTCAGCTATCACATTTCGTTAGTTTCTTACTTTTTAGACGGGGTCCATGGACTAGAACACAATAACTTTTTTTAGAAAACTGCCATAAAGCAGTTTTTATTGCTATAATTATTTTGGGGCAGTGCAATCTCGGCGGTACTCACAAATCAAACAGCCCAGACTTGAGTAAACAAATCCAATCATACAAGTACGAGATTTTCACGAGACGAGACTGCACCCATTGGCTTGTTTCGTATGAAACAAACAAGTTACTGAACCTCTCCACAATAGAGATTTCCCCTGATATGCGAATTTATTTTGCAAACTCGGTCAATTGGTACTTGAACCTTTCCCTCCAGATTGGGAACTGCCAACGATATTATACCACTGACCAGTGCCTTACTTGTAACGTACCAATGTACAATGAATATGAGTATTTCGACAAGACATCTAACATAAGCCTTACCGTCAAGAAGTTGAACTCGCGTTCTTCGCACACTGTAGACAAGGGCAAAGAGATAAAAATGGATCTAAATCCGAATACTTGAAAGTAAAATCAGCACACGTTTCCGTAAATGAAAGGTGAACATAAGCAAATGAATCGAAGGAAACCGGTCAAGTTAGAGATCACCTGGCATCGAGTATTCCGTAAAAGGAGGCCTCGCAGCTCGGCAGCAGAAAAGCAAAATTTAGCAAAGAGATCCTGTCAACTTTTCCATTATTTATTGCATTCTGCCCCAAAATCAGCACACTTTTCCTGAATGAAAGAGTCAACACAAGCAAATGAATCAAAGGGAATTGGTCAACTCACCTGTCATTGAGTAATATTCCGCGAAAGGAGGTCTCAGCAGCGCCGAAACGAAATAAGCCAGGCCATGAGACGAAATAACCGAAACAGCTCATGCAAGAAGCAGTTCCAAAGAAGGAAGTTCCTCGCGCATGCACATCCGAACACGGATCCGCGGACTGCATGCACTGAACACAATGTCTGCCGTGCACGTGCACAGCACACGGCTACCAAGCGTTGGTAGATCAAATACCGAGCACCTTACGTAGAGACTTACGTAGCCTAAGTGAAATACCGAGCACCTTACGTAGAAACTTACGTAGCATAGCGATGTCGTTTTTTCTGCCATGTGAACACAATAATAGAAAAGCTGACAGGATCGCTTTTCTAAATTGTCTCCGCGCTATTTTTGACCTTTGGAAATGTACTTTGACCTTTGGCTTTCACGCGCTTTCACAGATTCAGCTTCCCGCCCCATCACGTGGTTGAAATCCATGACTCAACCCGGGTCAGACTGTTTACATGAACATTTCGGAACATTTCAACCCGGGTCAAGCGCAATGCGTCATGTAAACGCGCCATTCACTTTGTGCACATGGCGGGTTGAAATCTGACCCGGGTCGAACTCAACCCGGGTTGAAACGCTTCATGTAAACACAGCCTTACAAAAATAACCCCGTGGACTTTTGCATGCATGCTATGGCTGTGTTTACATGAGAAATTTCAACCCGGGTCGAGTTCAGCCCGGGTTGAAAGTCTGTACGACAGACAAAAGAGGTGAGCGTTTACATGAAGACAGTTGACCCGGGTCAAATACTGATATGCCGCCAAAAGTCCACTTCTACAGCCCTGTATGGTCACGTGAGTCCGTTCGCGCGAAATTTGCATCTGCAGTCTGTTCAAACCTGGCGCGAGATACGTGATTTGTGATCCACCCCCGCCTGCATGCACCAGTGCACCACAATGCACCAATGCAGCAAGCGCAGGCATCGGGGACATGCCCGCGCTCTCCGATCATCCGGGCCTGCCCGACGCGTATAAAGGGCTGAAAGGGGGCAGTCTTGTCACAAAGGTCCCGGAAAGCCAATCAAGAGAGCTTCCTTCCATCCTCCATCCATATCCGCCCCTCAAGCGACTACCATTACCCAGGTGAGTTCTCTCCGACCTCAACGATTACCGCTATAGATTCTGTTTCAGAATTTCGGACACAATTTCGAGTTCATTATAAACAGCATATTTTTGCCGGCACAAGCCGCTTCACTAGTATATAAATCAATGATCATTTTCACTGTTAGGAGGGATATCCCCCCGATAGGCTATGCCTTTGGGAAATCCTTTAAATAACAAAATTTAAATATAACACCACTCCAGTGTGTTAGTACATCGTATGTACAAGTACATCAAACGTAGCGTAACAACAGTGACGTCAGTGGTCTAGCTGGTTTTCCCTGTTCTCTTCTGCTTCTCAGTCTGTAGGTATGAAATGTATTATAAATGTTTTTTGGTAATTGACTGTTGTGAATCATGCTTGCATGGTTGACTCCAACGCGTACATGCAAGTAATAATAATAATAATAATAATAATAATAATTGGCTGACTGGCATCTATTGATATGCTTTCTTCTCCCCCCCCCCCCCTTGCGGTCTTCTCTCAGTTTTCTTCGTAACCGTTGACAACACCTACGAGACAAGCCCCAGCGTACACTGGTGCATTCAACATGGCCCGCTTTCTCCTGCTGGCATTGGCCGTGACCATGCTACAAGTATTCGCACCAGCTTTGGGACAGAGCACCCCGGCCCCACGTAAGTGATACCTCGATGTGTTACATTTCTATCACGCCTAGCTAAACCCCACCGACAACTTAAACCTTTCACAGACGTGAATTCCAAGAAGGTGAACTCCGACTGTTCTAGTTTCGTTTCCCCACGATTTGTTTCTCTCTGTATGGTTTCGTCATGAGGCGTTGGCATAATCAGTTTGGCACATGCGAATCTGCTCTAACACCAGGTACTATCTAAACTGCTTACCGGGTATTGTTGCGTTTTTGCTGTGTTTGCACGGCACAACTCATAGCAGCATTTACCTGCACGTGCATCCTACCATCGCGGCTGCTTTATGCAATGACATTATGTGCTTGTGTACATCTACTTCGTATGTGTGTGCTGCAGATGACTGCAGAATCTGTGGGAAAACGGATTACGAGCTCAAGACGATTGTGCATCGCATCCTTAGCAGGCCAGTCGGTAAGTGCAGTTGGTGATCTTGTTCCCTAGGTAACCAATATGGCCACGGGTGTATCTCGGGATTCCGAACGATATCGCATTATTAAACTATGGACGAGTTGTGAAATGCCTTTACCACCCCCAGTATGTGGTGTGCATAAAAAAGATTGCCGCATATCCAATCAAGAATTGTTGACGAAACTATTTTCTATTTCTTACTGGATCCATCCAATATGCGTACCGTATTTTTCGGAGTATAGTGCGCACTTTAGATGTGCTATTTTGTGCCCTAAATCACAGTTGCGCACTATGCTCCGAATATGAAATGCATGTGCTTCAATGAAGATTGAAGTGCGCACCCCCAATGAAGATTGGGGGTGCGCGTAATACAAAGGTGCGCACTATACTCCGAAAAATACGGTACATGTACCCTTCAATATTATTAAATTTCAACACTCTCATGCTTTGTTGCCACGAGGACCCAGATAAAAATTAGCGGATAATGGTGGCAGAGATGCCGGCAGATTTTGGTACAGTGGTTTTCCTGTAGATTTCATGCACGTTTTGTACCGACACGAGGATATGGAATAGGAGCAAAATTCGAGAAATTGGCCGCAACTCGCTTTGTGAAATTCTCGTAATTATTTTCACCGCATTAACCATCAAAGGCTATCACCAACGCTCTCGCCTGTGTTTGCTTTCTTTTTCATCCAGTGTTCACCGGTCGGGTTGTTTCTACTAAAGACAGCAGTAACCTAATCCAGGTCACCAGCATCTGCAAGGGTGGTCTAGTACCAGCATTTAGAGATGCCAGCCGCCGCCTACACCCGACCACCCGCTGCGACAGACTGGATGACACTGGCCTCCAAAAGCAACTGTTTGTGAGCACAGACAACAGTTACAAGTCGAAGACGGCTAAGTGCCTTGCACCGTGTGGACTGAACGTCGCCGTTGGCAAGAAATACATCTTCGGTGGACACTCTGCGGGGGCATTTAATTCTATCATCGTTCTAGATGATACGTCTCTGATCGCTAGATATAACCAATATTCCCGGGCACTCCTGGATGATCTGAGCACAACTCCCATTAACGAGTAATGTGTTCTGGAGCTGATCACTGACTTCACAATGCGCTCTCGCTCTCTCTGCTAGTCCAGGCTATTTGAACGAAATACCCCTCCCCGCCCCCCGTGTCACTAATTTCTGATTAGTGCCTCAGTTGGACGGTCAAAGTCCCTTTTCACATCCTTTCGACTATGTCATGCTATTGTACTTGTCCAAGGTTTTATTACTTTTGTTTTATATTACCCCACTGCTGTCCGTTCTTTGCACCTGACCCATCCCTTCTATTGCTTCTTGTCGTCATGCTTCCTGTTATGCAGTATTTCTGAGAGAAACGAGAAAAAAGAGCTCATACCCGAGTACTCTGCAGTATTATTCAGTGTGTTGATTCTGTCTCTGTCTCTCTCTCTCTGTCTCTCTCTCTGTCTCTCTCTCTCTCTCTGTCTCTGTCTCTCTCTCTGTCTCTCTCTGTCTCTCTCTCTCTCTCTCTCTCTCTGTCTCTCTCTCTCTCTCTCTCTCTGTCTCTCTCTGTCTGTCTCTCTGTCTGTCTCTCTGTCTCTCTGTCTCTCTCTCTCTCTCTCTCTCTCTCTCTCTCTCTCTCTCTCTCTCTCTCTCTCTCTCTCTCTCTCTCTCTCAGTATTTTCAAGGTGATCTGGGTATAACTTAAAAACAAGAAACCGATAGGGGTGGTGCTTAGGGTCCAGCGGATAATGCGGGCATTATATTCGGCATTAGGAGACTATCCGAGCATTTAGAGCATTATGGAGCATTAGAAAGGAACTTGGGGCCTCACGCAATCTGCTCTCCAGAAGTTGGATGCCTTCCACCGACGTCAGTTGCGGTCTCTCCTTGGCATCAAAAAAAATAAATAATGTAGTTTAAGGCGCTCACCTCATATCATATCAAGCGAATGGCGATATATAATATTATTATATATCGCCATTCGCTTGATATCGCCATTCGCTTGATATGATATGAGGTGAGCGCCTTAAACTACATTATTTATCCCTTTAATATGAACATGAAGAAAGCGGTTCAGCTTGCTACATATGAAACGAAAGAAAATCTTTTGTTAGAGCTATGTTTTCTGGAGTCGTAAACTTCATATGGCATTCAATTGACCGTAACTTTGGTGTCTCTCAATGGATTTGAGTGAATTTTTCACCACACACTCCTGCCACTATGCTGGCCCTCTGGACATGATTTAAAAGTTCTTGCGCCTCACTGACAGGCTTTCCAGGCCGGAAAAACTCAAACTTCCGGCATAGTGCCACGTTGTGCGAGTCACCCAGGGGCCAAATCAATGCATTTACAATTTTTTCAGATTTTTTTGCCCATTCTGTCCGTGCGCGGGACCCAAACCTAAAATAAGTCCACAAGCAGCCATGGGTGGTGGGATAGGGCCCTTCACGTGGCCCTGGAATCTGTCACAACGGCAGGAGTGGTCGTTCTCTCACAGACTCCCACAGACCCAAGTCAATTTTTGATATTTTTTAGGTTTAGGGCGTGCTACGAGGTCGTACCTTTGATACAACATCCAGTGCTGAGACGTCTACAGCAAGCCATTTCCACAGCGCTGCAAACCGAATCCAGGATACCCTCAAAAATGGGCAGAGACTACCACTCACGTTCCACTACTGCCTAGTACTGAATCCTACCTGACTTCTTGACACGACTCAAACTTGCCAAAGTCACTCAATCAACGTCAACTACAATAATCAAGCCACATATCTGCAACGTCACGAGGGTGCTGGCAAAGGTCCTGCCGCCGTGCAGCCCCAATACGTGGCTAATGAACGTGAATTTTGGACTTGGAGCAAAATTCTGCACACCTTCGCGTCTTTCCATGATACGACAAGTTGCGCACGGTCTGCTCAGATTCAAATATATAGCCACGTTACGCATATCCGTAAAACGTCTCGACAGGTTATAGGAGCGCTGAGGAGAAATCGGAAGTGTCTCTCTCTCTCTGCAGTCGAAGCGAATGGCCTACACGTCCATGCCATGGTAGAGTCCAGGATCCGCTATGGATGCTCAGCTTTCTTTAGCTCTCTCTCCAAGGCTAACGAGGAGAGACTTCAACGCCTATGCAACCTGCGAGCCGTGTACAACCTGACCTCCCGTACCCGTATGACTCCCGTGTATGCGGAACACAACCTGCTTCGTGTACACCAGCTCTTGCGTGAGACAGTGTGCTCGCTGGTCTACTGGTGCTTGGAACAGTCTTCCACCTGATGCGAGAAACATCACGTCCCCCCTCCAGTTCAAGGGTGTGTTGCACGCATATTGTCTTACTGTAGCGTGACAGCAACCCCCCTCCCCAGTCTTGAGTACTAGTATGTAGTAATCCTGATGCTCTGATACATGCCGAGGCTAGCTGTATGCTCAGTCTCCGGCTAGCTGTATGCTCAGTCTATACATTCTTGATCTTATCTTCTTCTTTTTTCAAACTCGGATGGTGATTGGTGACGCAATATAGTTATGATGAAGAAAGGAAGAGGACAAAATGTTACGAGTTATGACGAACTGTCCACCTACGTAACCATATCTTATATCATTTACATGTATTATCCCAGTTCTGCAAGCTTACAATCATATGCTCAAGCGCAGAGCTCTGCCCTAGACTATGTCTTTTTCTCTTTCTTTGCTCACCTATTGCTCATCACTTCTTCTACAGATTTGGTATTATGGAAAGTTTGGAAACCCCCTCGATAGGCGAAAGCCTTTGGGGAATCCTTTTATTGTTTAAAAACAATCAACAATATTACACTGACGGTATCCCAACTCCTTATTTACCAGATTTTGTATGCCTCGATCTATTTCCTTAGCCTATCCTCGATTAACTGCTCCCTCTACATAAAGTTGTCATTTCATTCTTCTTGCAGGAGATCCCCTCGACAGGCTCAAAGCCTTTGGGAAATCCTTTTAAAAATATAATAAAATACAAAATACAATACAAATTATACAGTCAGCGAGTGCGACAAAATGGCACATGGCACAAATGGCACAAAACTGACAAGGAGTACTGAGACATTCGGAGACCTGGCACGTACATGTAGCTCCAAGACTCCTCCAAGGCGCAAACCAACAACCTTTCAACTTGGAAGGCTCAGGTTCGGAAAGGTCCAAGAGGGGAAGGAAAGCGCAACGAAGAAGAGCACGAGCTACGCATCACGGCAAGAGTATATAACGGGGGGTTATACTCTTGATCACGGCAACAAAGAATGCCGAAAGTTACTGGATGATGACGAAACTAGTAAGACTATTGGACAGACCGGCCTTACTACAACTCTACGACGCAAAGCAACAAACCACCCAACTTGGGAGTAGGCCCCAGCGGCAGATGCTAGCTTAATGTTGCCAAGATGCTTTTTGGGATGCTAGCTGACAACTCAGAAAGATGCTAGTTTGGATGCTAGACAACACGAATTATGCTACCTATTAATCATCTGTCATTGGTAATGGTGAAACATTTGGGTGAAACATTTGGGTTGAAAACGGTGTTCCGTGCTATTTATGAATTCTCACAAAGCAGGTATGTAAAAAGAGTTTTTAAAGGTGCAATGTTGGCATCATGTTGCTATGGAAATATTTGCAATACAAACAAGCAAATACCAAGAAGTACCAATGGCAATGTGGGTCTTGGTCACAACTAGGTAATGCAAACAAATTGAATGTAGTGCATGCAATTATCAATGTGGTAGTTAGGCCTTGACAGATTATGCTAGCATAATTTTTCGCATAATTCCTACCGAAATCGAATAATCGCATAATTCGAGGCAAATTGCATACGAATCGCATAAAATTGGAATAATCCGCCTGTTAGCTGTACATGTTCTACAAGTACAAGTACAAGTAGATGCACCAGGAAGTCATAGGTTTACGACTCCCTTGATAACATGTCCAGTCCACTACAATCAGTGACGGTCGTAGCTAGGTCGGACGGTGCGTTGACCCTCATTAAACTTTTACTACCACAGTACAACGCCCTCTACAAAAAAAGTTCCCCTGTTATTTTGCACAGAACCATTATACATTAGCAGCATATGTTAGCATAATGCGGCATAATATAACTTTTAGCATCAAAATAGCATAAATCTGCAATTTTTTCAGCAATGCGAAAAGCATAATTTCACGAAAATAATTATTAGCATAATCCGTCAAGGCCTAGTGGTAGTACCGTAATACTAGTTTCATAGTGTAATCTAGACCGAATTCCACATCCAGAATGCCAAAATTGGCAAAAATGTATCGGATGCCGGTAAAAACTGCTGTTTATGCTAGCATCGTGTGGAGTCACAAAAAGGCCCTTTTATGCTACTTTGGGTGCTAGCATTTGCCGCTGGGGCCTACTTGGGAGGCTCAAGTTTATATAATGAACATAGAAGGGGAAGCTAAGCGAAGACGAATTGTAACAAACCGAAACGCCAACATCCTACTGAACTAAGCGAAGACGAATTGTGACAAACCGAAACGCCAACATCCTACTGAACTAAGCGAAGACGAATTGTGACAAACCGAAACGCCAACATCCTACTGAACTAAGCGAAGACGAATTGTGACAAACCGAAACGCCAACATCCTACTGAACTCCACTATCATGTATGATGGACTAGTTATGTACAATAACAAGTAGTTCCACACGACGTACGTTTCGCCGTATAGGTCATGACGGCTCATCAGGTGTGCAAGATTTAACTCGGATGGTGAGCCAATATAGTTATGATGAAGAAAGGAAAAGGACAAAATGTTACGAGTTATGACAAACTGTCCACCAACGTAACCAGATCTTATACAGTCAGTGAGTGCGACAAAATGGCACAAAACTGACAAGGAGTACTGAGACATTCGGCGACCTGACACCTAGCTCCACTCCGCTCGGCCCGGTTTTAGCAATTTTTTTGTTGGATTCTGCGAATCTTCCATTCCACCGTCGCTGTGGCCGCCTATGTACTGTTGGTTTGTTGATGATGTATATTGCCACGGTAAGGATGAGGAGACATGCCAACAGTTTTTATCCGTCTTAAACAATCTTCATCCAGCACTGAAATTTACATCAGACGCGGAAGAGAATGGCACAATATCTTTCCTGGATGTCAGCATCAAACGTAATGTTGACACTCGTTCTTTGGACAGGACAGTGTATCGAAAGCCTACCTTTACTGGTTTGTACATTCCATGGGGAAGCTACACACCGACAAAGTCGAAAAGGAACTTAAAGCCCTGGTTTATCGTGCCAATTGAATATGCTCCCCACATCTATTGCAAGATGGTTGGATCGACTTTCCTCCATACTTTTGAAAAAATGGCTATCCGAAACATTTTCTGACCAAATGACTTGACGAGAAACCGGTACTATCTAAACCACTGACGTACGGACCGGATGAATGTCATGCGTCGGTGCTGTCACCTTTTCTTCTATTTTTCTGTTCGTATTTGCTCCACGCTATCAGACTTTCGCTCATCTATACAAAAAACATAATATAGGGCACCCCGTAAGAAGGCCTCAATTAGCTAAGGCCTCTGGGAATGCCCTATTAAAAATTTGATACATAATAAAAATAATAATAATAGCTATAAAGAGAACAAATTCTGCTGTCATCGCCACACTACAACAAAGTCATGAAGGTTTACCAAAATCGATTTTCTTGTCACAATCATCAGTGGAAAGCCGTGACTGAAGAATAACCATGCTAAATAAATAATTTATATACATTCAATAATGTAAAAAATTGGTTGTGAGCAACACTGGCTCACACTCAAATAACTGCTTTTCACCAGAAAAATATTATATTTCGAAATATAATATTTTTCTGGTGAAAAGCAGTTATTTGAGTGTGAGCCAGTGTTGCTCACAACCAATTTTTTACTTATGAAGCTGCGTGATGCGTCCCACAAGATTTTAATTCAATAATGTGTTACGAGAACAAAACAAAGTGCTAAAATAGAATGAGGGAAGGTGAGACAATAGAAGTAAAGTGAGAGCTACATGTAAGTGCAACAGGGGTGAGGAACTAATTGCAACGCTAGAACTGTGTAGTGAGACAAACAATCATGCTGTGCACCTACGAAAACAATCTTAACGCAACGTTAAAATAAAAATAAAATAAAAACGATTTGACTCAGGGAGTCGTAAAATACCGACTTCCTGATTCGACTACTACCATAGAAGCGGTACGGTAAAAACTTGCATTTCGTGCTTGTGAAGTTGCGTACTCACGATCGCCTGAGTATACTCTTGCTGCAACTTGTACAAGTAAAAACAAGACTCTTCTTTACAGGCAAAATAAACACAATGGATTCTTGTGGTAAAGGAAGACCGGTCATGAGTCATGCTCAACTGAAGGCAACGTCAAGAAGGTGGAGAAATAAAATTAGTGCATGCCTGAATGTGCCAAGTAGGATGTCCAAGGAATATGAATTGCCCAGGCAAGTATTGTATTTGTATTTTATTCTATTTAAGGATTTCCCAAAGGCTTTGCCCCCCCCCCCCCCCCCCCCCCGGGTCTGTCGAGGAAATCTCCTGGAAGAAGAATGAAATGACAACTTTATGTAGAGGGAGCAGTTAATCGAGGATAGGCTAAGGAAATAGATCAAGGCATACAACATCTGGCAATTAAGTAGCACTGCGATGCGGAGCCGGTCGACGTTCTTTGTGAGAGCGACCTCCGTGCAGGCCTCATGAGACTGACAAAAATTAAAAGTTACTTCTACAAGACACAATTACAACGAGTGTAGCGAGAGTATCACAAGCTTCCCGGGAGCTTGCTAATACGGTACTAGCAGCAAGAGCAAAATATGCTGCATGGATTCCATATCCATGTGTTCTTGCAACCATTTGTACGTTCTCTACGGAGCTACCGATATATGTGTGCGAAACGAGTCGACCGTACAACATTGCACGCCATCAAAGGACGCACCGATGTGCAAGTCTTGAATGCATTGATACCGAATATGCACCCGCGTACCAGGCGAGTCCGAATATAGACCTTGTCGCTGGAAGTGCGAGTTCAACTTCCAGACGCACTGCATTTCTGGGAGTGATGATGTTGATGCTAGGTTATAGGTCGCGTGGCAAGCGTTGCCCGTCGACGTCCTCGACGCCTCATACGCATGCAACGCTGAAAGCGTACAAGCCTAGAGAGCTTTCTTGCAGTGCGAAACTTAAACTTTACCGCTTTTCGATCTTTCGCCGTCTTCTCAAGCTACCCCATTTTCGGGTGGAATTTTTTTAGAAATTTCTCTCTCCTCGCATTCGTACTAGAAGAAATAGGCAGACGTTTGTTAGTTTGCAAACCGTGAACACCGTGCTGGAAGAACAAGGAGAGCGTCTCCTAGAAGCTGCATCTAGCATAGGTTTCTAGTATTCGGGTAACTGTTGTCGCATCGCGGAGTGTTCACCTCCGGCGACTATTCGACGTCGAACTCGACGAGTGGAAATCTCTGATCGGCGAACAGTAGTAGCTCTTTGCAGGACTGGGCAGTGCTGTTTCTCCAAGGAGCAAAGATAATAGCTTTCGCCATGCAGCCTCTACTCGTGGCCGTTGGGATCCTTGTGCAGTTTCTCGTACTCGCTGCCTCGCCAGTCCACTCCCAAGCTGCGGGAACCGGTACGTACCGCTTCTTCTCTACACTTTAAAAAACGACTGTGTTCAAATCGACTATCGGTAGTTGTCGAACCTGTACTTTATCCAAAAAAACTCAGTGTGGGTTATCGTGACTACGATGGTCAAATAAACGGTGATAAACAGGGCCCCGGTAGATGCCTGTATTTCATGACAAACACATGCTGTGAAGGCCATTATTCTAACGAGGCACATATACCGTATTTTCCTCAATAAATGTACAGTACTTTTATTTTTTCAAAGGTGGTCAGACCTGTACTACTATAGGAGACTGTACTAGTATTGGAGACGTGTACTTTATTGTGTCTGGGAAGATTGATTGCCTGGGTTGGGTGGCAAACAACTCGTGATAATGATGCTGTAAGGCTGTAAATACACCCAACCATGGTAAGAATCAGTGTACAAAGACACAAATATGATGAACGGGTAAGAAAAACGAAGTAAGGTGGACCCTGGTATCTGTACCCCACTAATGCCCATCACATCACTCCGGCATGTAACATTACGGAGCATCAGCAAATCGAATTTTCGATTTGATCATTCGAATGGCAAAGAGAAAATCAGACTGAAAATTCGAATGAAAAAGAGGTTCAGCATGTAGCGCAGTCCAGTATTTTCGAATCGAGTTCACTTTTCTAGCCTGAGTAGTTGAGGACTGGGATTTTGAGATGTGCAATGGCTGCGTTTGTTGCAGAGCAAGTCAATTTGTTGGATTCGCTTCTCTTCCTTGAGTTCGCTGAAGGTCACCTGGACAGAACGGAGTTGCTGCTGTTTCTCATTGCCGTTGAGGATGACGCGAAGCGGCGGATGCTTCATCCGATTCAGGCTATTGGCGATAGGATCTCTCTTGGAGACCCCTTGAAAAGGCGGATCTCGGCCGAGCTTCTCCGCTATCCCTTGCATATCAGGAGACCCGCGGACGAATAGCTGAGGGTGGGCCCAACACTGCCTCAGCAGAATGATCCATGGTGAGGTCGAACCTCAAATATTTGGAATACTTTGAGTCGCCCTCTCCCTGCGGGGAACTCACCATAGACGCAGATGCCGAGGCAACGCCAGCAGGGTTACTGGGAGCAGGAGGCATATACCGCGGGGCTGGCAGTTGGTGAAAAAAGCCATGATTCCAGGATCTTGAAATGAAACAAAAAGCACACTTGACAAAACTGTTCACAGTTCGAGAGAGAGGAAAGCGTCAAGAAGTCCGCTTTGACTGTACCTTGCGCATGCGCACTTATAATACAACTACGACTTCATGAAAGTAAGAACTAGTAGCTACATGCGCAAGTCTGAGTACTCGTAGTGCGCCGTGTACTAGAGCACGCGCGGAGCATTCGAAAAGTATTTTCTCTTTGCGGGCATTTTTCAGTCGAACAAAGCCCTAGTTCCGACTGATTGAGTGCTTTTCGTGACGATTCTCGAATTTCACTCGAAAATTCGATTTGCTGATGCTCCGTATTATTAGAGACGTGTCCTTTTATATTTTCGATCCACACCCAACATGTACTACAATTGGGGACGTACTAGTAATGGAGACGTGTACGTTTAATGGGGAAAATACGGTATAACGATTTCCCAAAATTGACTGGTTAACGTGTACCACAGGTAACGATTTTCACTCATTCTCAACGCTCAATAGGACAGTATATGTATCGATTTCTGTATAACAATTTCTATTTTTAACGATAGATTTCTCCTCGTTAACTCGTTAGAGTTAGCACTTCGTTATATATATATTATGGCTTTTACAGTAGGTGCGACTTACACTCCAGTGCTGCTTATACTCCGAAAATTCCGTAGTACAATGTATCAGTAGATGGCTGAAGCGTGCACAGTGCTGTGAAACCGGGAATTTTCGGTGGTGTAATATTTTCGGCATTTCCCAAAATCAAAGGTTCAGTAGAGCGAACATTTCGGTAAACCAGTTGTCCTGCCTGCAGTCAGCATGCATGTACGTATTTTTTCGGTGGGTCTTATTTTAGGTAAAAATTACCTGTACCGAAATTTAACTCGGACACTGAGCCAAAAATCTAATTAAAATAGCGCACTTTCTGACTGCTTATTATCTCGTTACAGTCGTGGATAGTTGCTTCATAACACATTTCCATGTTATCTCTTCTATTTTAATTGTACCGAAATTACCGAAAATAAAACTCCACCCGAAACGTTCCGGTTTTATAGTACTGTCGAGTTCCGAAGAACTGGGAGTCAGCCGTGTAGCCTAGGTCATTCTTATCTTCATGTAGAGGGAAACCTGTTTATTAAGGTGACCCCTCAAGGGACCTTCGAAACGTGGTCTATGTTACCAGGTGGTCTCCTCATCCAGGGTCAATTGACTGCAAAAAAGTATCCCTACGTTATGGTTTCAGTGGTATTTTTTTAGGACAGGTGGTCGCCTGATCCGAGTGGTTGCATTGACTCATTTTACTGTGCATGTGCTATCGTGTATGCACAGTTGAATCACCGTGTGTTGCGTATCGGTTTTATTAGAAAGAAAGGGGGACAAAATGTTACGGATTATGACTAACTGTCCACCAACGTAACCAGATCTTATACAGTCAGCGAGTGCGACAAAATTTATAATTTAATTGGCTCACCATCCGAGTTAAAAGACTTTTCATGGCTTTTTTGTTGTTGTTGTTGTTGTTGTTGTCCTTTGGTTTATTTTGTTTTGTTTTGCGTTCTCCTTTTGACTCTGTTGGCCTGTTTTGGTTGCACGTGCAGTTTGTGCATGCACCATGGAACGGTTAGGTCATTGTCATGCGTTATGCTTTGTTTGCGCGCATGCTCCTATGCTGTCATGATGTTTGTCTTTTTCTCTAGTTTCCAGTTTTACCTCGTCGTGCCCGGTCTTCTTGTTTGTCCGTCTCTGTCTCTTGTCTCGTTGTTGTGTGTGGCGGGTCGGATGGGCAGGTAGGCTGGGGCCCTGACGCCTGGAGAACATGTGCGGGTGCACACAACCTTGTAGACATTGGTATGCTGCGCTCGGTGAATTTCTAGCCTGGTCGTTGTCCGGCGCTACGTTCGTCGGCGCTCAACAGTACTGCAGTGGCCCAGCGGCGGCACCACCACTGTTTGTGCCACCTCTACGCTGTGCCGGACTGTATGCCGGGGGGGGGGGGGGGGGACGTTTGCCGTGGCCTGGGACTCAGTCATCTTCCTCTTTCCTGAAATTCCCAAGAAGCAGAGGATGACAAGCTCATTGTTTCTCTCCTCATCAATCCCTACTTGTCTTTGTACATACTAGTGGTAGTAATGTTCTTTCAATCAAATGAACCCCTCGATAGGCATATTGCCTTTGGGTCATTTCATAATAATAATATTAATTGTAACTCCGAGTTGCACGTGCGAGGCGATCAACATCATGCAACAATAACGTGATAAATCTGGATGTTTGTATATGTCCACAAAGTGTAGGTGTGAATCAAAGAGATTGAGTACTCGTGAAATAGATATGTCCACCGAATAATATTTTCCGGCGATCAAGGAAATTGAAAGAATCATAAAGGCTTCTGCAGCATGTAGCTTTCTTATGTATTGTAACCTGCTGGTATATTTGTCCCCTGTTTATCACTTGGCGTGTTCACAGTCGGCATTGCAGCTAACATTTTGTGGGACTCTGTATCAATAACTGCGATGCCTTATGGGAAGCGAAGCATCAGGTTGCAGTGGATGATGTCTGACGCAAATATCAATGCTACATCTGATGGCTACTCAGCTGTTTGCAGCCAGGTGGAGGACTCTTCTTGTAAGCATTATGTTTATAATACATGTTTGGTGTATACGTTTGTGTGCTTGTGTGTGTGTGGGGGGGGGGGGGTGCGTGTGTGTGTGTGTTTGTGTGTGCGTATGCGTGTGTGCATATGTGTATGTGTGGGTGCGTGCGCCCTGTGTGCGTGTATGTGTGTGTGTGTGTGTATGTGTACGCTGAGTAGACAGTTTGTTTGCAGTATGCGAGTATACATGTATGTGCACTGTGCATAGAGCTGTGGTAGACACTGACATACAAATCAATCCACACTCATAGGACCTAGGGCGCAAACGGCTACAATTTTCACCTTTTTAAAACAGTTGACTGCTACGCTAACGGTCGGTTTATCGGTTATAACCTATAAGCTTCGGCAGTCCGGCGCATAGCTAGTTTGAACCATAATAATACAATAGACTTGTTCGAAAATGTACCGTGCGGAATTACCACTAATACATGCACATGTTTGCATGCTCATTCATGCATGTACTGTGCATTTATGCATGTATACATACACGATAGGTTGTAAAACTGCCAAAACTCGGTAACTTCGAAACTGGTCTTAAAACCATTTTATTTTATTTATTTTTTACTATGTGCACATCCCTACAAAGTAATAGGGGTTATAAAAGAGACAAAAACAAAGACAACAAAGGAGTAGTAGGTGCTTCAAGAGCTGTGCCAAGGGGCCAGTCACACGATCGGATTTGGCACCTGGCCTGCGTGCAGGGAGCCGGAGTCGTCAAATACCGGAATACCCATGCATGCAGGGTACGGTCATAGTCATTGATCTGTCCTGGAAAACGTACGCTTGTACACTGAGGCCCGGAACTATCCTTGGATTATACACCGGGGATTTTTTTTACTTTTCATCACGTTCACACTGGAAAGGCATGATGAAAACAAATCTCACCCACACGAGCTATTTTTTTGTCACCATTCGCTGCTGGCAGGCTGTCAGCCCCGCTCCTGGGCCAGAGCTGCATCAGCACAACCTCTACTGAGGTATCACTCCACTTCAAACAGGAATTAAAAACAAGGAAACTCAAAGAAATGCAGTGGGAGCCGAGGATGATTATAATCTCCTGCGGAAAAGCGGGGCCTCTGGCAGATTTTAAAGGGGAAGTTAAGGCAAAAATTAAAATTTCACCAGTTGTAGTCTTCGGGGTGCTGAGTCGAATGGTCTTGGTCCGAGAAAGCTGAGACGCTCCGTTCCTACTTGAATCCCAATCGAACTCGCGCACTTCCACCAAAACTGGGTGACTGCGCCCTACTAGATGGGGATTTGTATGCAAAATGTCACGAAAAAGCGCCGTTCTTATAAAAGCACGGATGATCGCGATTGGCCCATATGTTGTAGTCTTTTGGACGCTGAGTCGACTGGTTTTGGTCCGAAAAAGCTGCGATGCAGCGTTCCTCCTTTATTCCCAATCGAACATGGTTGAACAAGCGGTCACGTGCTCCTGTGTGCCCAAATCATCTGGTCACCACGCCAGCAGGCGAGAACTTTCACACCAAGGTTCAACTCGAGTTCAACTCGAGTGACAGGACTGCACCCAAAAAAGGTCAAACAGGCTAGTAAGTTGTACGCTGCAGGCACGGTGACCAGCTGACTGGTGTACGCAGGAGCACGTGACCGCTTGTTCAACCATGTTCGATTGGGAATAAAGGAGGAACGCTGCATTGCAGCCTTTTCGGACCAAAACCAGTCGACTCAGCGTCCAAAAGACTACAACATATGGGCCAATCGCTTTCACCCGTGCTTTTATAAGAACGAAACGGCGCTTTTAGTGACATTTTGCATACAAATCCCCATCTAGTAGGGCGCAGTCACCCAGTTTCGGTGGAAGTGCGCGAGTTCGATTGGGATTCAAGTAGGAACGGAGCGTCTCAGCTTTCTCGGACCAAGACCATTCGACTCAGCACCCCGAAGACTACAACTGGTGAAATTTTAATTTTTGCCTTAACTTCCCCTTTAACCCTTAGGTGCCGGTAGGTCGATTTCGACCTATGCTGACAGTGCATACTAAAATCGAGCACAGAGCCAGTCTCGTACATCGCAGGTGCCTGATTTTTTGTACGGAGACCCTTCAGTAGCTGGCCTGTTGATAGCAATGGAGAAAGTAGGGGGTTGCATTTGAAAAAGTCGAGTCGTGATCAACGACGATCGCGCAGATCAGCGGAAGTCAATCGAGCGTGGCAGCCTACGCACGCGTCCCGCAACATGAACAAAACGTTGCTGTTTCGCTTCGTTTTTGACTAGTACAGTTCATGGCTACTACAGCTGACCTCCGTCATGGATGCTGCAGGAGCGCTTGAGTTGTTTGAAGAGCTGGAGGCCGATGATGCCCCTGTAGAAGAAGAATCAGAAGACGACGATGGTGAATAATCTGACGCTCTTTTCTCTGACGGAAACCTGCCGTCATCAGTTGAGGAAGACCGACTCAACGATGATTTGGTTTTCGGTGACATTCTTGAGAACGGCAGCTCTTCAGATGAGGACAAAATTTCCGACGATGAGCTTCAAGAAGCTGTAGGGCGAGGGCAAGCGCAGCCAGTTCGTGGACGTGCTCCGCTCGCGCTGCGCAGAGGAATTGCTCGCGGCGCTGGTCAAGCTCAGCCAGCTGATCGAACAGCTGATTGTGGCGTGCGTGGCGCGTGTGGCAGAGGCCGTGGACGAGGTAGTGGATTCGGCGTGCTGAGTTGGGTTGGCGACCAAGATGTTCTTGGACCAGCGCAGTACCCTGACCCTATTGTAGATTTTTCTGACTTGAAAATTCAAAAATCGGATCTTGCTGTGTCTTGCCATTCAGAATACATACTTTTGTCACTACATAATCTAAACGGTTGCAGAGATATAGGCTTTCCAAAAAATTGAGCCAAAACTACGAAAAATCTAAAATTCAGTCAGGCACCAAAGGGTTAAGCGAGTGGATTATTAATCTCGAATTGCCGCTCAGCGGCCGATATCCATGGAAACCACAGATTTTTTCTCAAATTTTCCCTCAGTGTGACCGGCCCCTATAAATCGGACTAACTGTTTGAGCAATGATAGGGCCCTGAATGGATTTTGTATTCTGGTGTCAACCCCCTCCCCCCAGGCCCAGTGTTACGTGTGTGTGTGTGTGTGCGTGTGTGTGCGCGCGCGCGTGTGTGTGTGTGTGTGTGTGTGTGTGTGTGTGTGTGTGTGTGTGTGTGTGTGTGTGTGTGTGTGTGTGTGTGTGTGTGTGTGTGTGTGTGTCAGACCAGAAGGCAATTTCCGTGCAAAAATAAATATAATAAGGTGAATTATACAATTTGTGCACACAACCTTAATTTCATTTTCTTTTCACTCACAAAGCGACTGTTCAGTACATGGGGTAGTGGTCTACGAGAGCAATCACACTCACCACCGTGGTGGTTTTCCAGAAATGAGAAGAAGCAAAAAACCACACTCGCAGCTACATAATAGATAAATAGCTGAAAAATATCTAAATCCATCAAAGAACCGCCAGCAAGCGGGAGAAAAAGCCGTGAAATCCAGTGAACAGCATGGCCAGTGGTGAACATGGGTGACTGGACAGCAGGGGAGCGCCTGAAAAACAATGACTCCCTACATTCCTAGCCGCGACCGCTCAACCGGGCTAGAGGAAAAACACGCCTTTCGGCCAAAAAACCTTTCTATTTCATTAATTCCTGCCCCGCTGCCAGTCGGACCCAAGAATAGATATAGCAAGAAATGGTATGTAATAACCGCCGGTGTATGTCATAATCATAAGCCACACACATAGGTATAGATTGTCAAGAAGAACAGCGGACGACTCCCATGAAACCAGGGTGGGTGGGCGGGCAACTTCAACTACCACGAGGAAAAACAAAGACCACGATGGCAGGTTCAACGGAGTTGCGCAGAACAAGAGCAAATGCACGAAAATATTTGTGAGTGAAAAATACGTTTTTTGCACTCTTTCGCTACGCTCAGCCGTGAAAAAACAAAACATTTCATGTAGTCCTTATTTGAAGGATTCTGCAAAAGTAAATGGATACTTATCAAGGGAGTTTCCTGGATGGGTGGATGCGAAGAAAGGGAAGTGAATAGGGATAATTTAAAATCATGCTACATAAAAATGTTGATTTCTCGCACCTGCCACCTTTATGAACACTACGGGTGACACAGACAGTGTGGATTATGAAGGCAGAGATCATGCCGGTATCCAGAACATGGCTGCTGGTCAGTGCGTGTGTTTCGTAATCAAGTCGTCTTGGACTAATAATTATTAGCACGTGCTGGGAGCAGTACAGAGAACAAAGCCGTACTCTGGTCCATGGGTCCCAAAGCTTTTAGCTGCATAGTGCGCTGGGAATGCGCCAAAATACACCGCACGCAAACTGCTGTCGAGTCTCTGCTGTGTGTTCCCATCTTCCTGCAGCTTTCTCGGAAATTCCAGTTCCGGATATTTCGGCAGGAGGAGTGCCGAGCAGCGTGACAGTGGGCGGTCTGCGGCCTGGTCAGAACTATTCCTGCTCGTTCAGGCTACGGTCTTCTGCCAAAGTTCTAACCTCGTCTGTTTACGCTACCACTGTGGAAGAAGGTAAGATCTCAATTGCGGCAAGAACATCAACTGCGTGCTACAGTCAATTCCAAAAAGATGAGCGCCGGCTGAAGACTTTCAGCCACTCTACTTGACTAGATTTCCTCATGTAGCTGTGTGGGGGTGTTGGCTGTACGAGTACAACTTACGTCATTTGCGCAGTGGGCTTACCGTAAAGTTGCGGAGAAAAGCCGGGCTTATAACATAAGCATATAAGCCGCTTTCTGCATCAGGCTTCAATGCAAACCAGGCTTGTATGCAAAGTTGAAACCATGCTTATATGCACCACTGATATTTTGCCAGGCTTGTATGCACATCTTCTACGCGCGACACGCGTAGATCTACCACTGACCAGGGATCCCTACACATATCTATGGTATGTGTAGGGCTCCCTGCCACTGACTACCGGTATGGCGGCAGTTTTACTATGCACCGTACATAGCGCATGCACTCTTGACCTACCCCGCGATCCGCGCTTGCATTAGAAGCCAGGTGAGACAACGGGTCAAAAGCATAATATAACCCTGTCGCGCATAGAAGCCTGGCTTCTAATGCAATATCCACCAATATAATTATCTCTCCTGGCGTAAGTACCGGCATGGCCATTAGCATCCCCATGTTGCCTGATTAATAGTAACTTTATTAGGATGACCCAAAGGCAAATCGCCTATTGAGGGGTTCACCGCGTTGAATGGTTGTGATACGACAAAGCAAAGAGGCAACCAGTGTGTGTGTGTGGGGGGGGGGGGGGGGGGAGGAGGAGGAGGTTCGAACTATGCACAGTGAAGGGATTACTGTATGTACATGTACATGACCAAGGATAGGGTATACCGGACAAAGTTGCCATTTTTGGGAGCAACGGATTGGGAAGTATGATGATTGCGTTGGCGCCGAAGAACTGAGGGGTCAGGGTCCTAGCCTAGCCCGATCTTATTTTTAGAGAACACAGCAGTTTCCTTCTTCTTTGATGGTACAGTATTATATGTACATTTATGCAGAGTTATACATCTGAGTGTACTCTGAGTGTACATCTGAGTGTACTGTAAATCAACTAATTTTCGCTGGCGATTTAATTTCGCTGATTTCGCTGATTTCGCTGATTTCGCCGCTGGGTTCCAACCGGCCAAAGTAAATCGCAGGCCAAAATTTGTCATAGAGGCAAATGATGCATTATTGAGCCAGGGCTGCATGTGAGGGCAACAAAATTAATAGTGTCAAATACCAATCGATTTCTTTTTTGAAAACGCAAATCGGCCAAAGTAAAATGACTGGCCATGTGGTAAAACACTTCACTTTATACTTGTACAATCATGCACACACTGTCGCGGACAGCTGGCCAGCAGCTGCCGCGACAACTTCAAGATGGGAGAGAGACCTGGTTCGTTGTCACTTCTTTCACCACATAAAGAACACTGCTTGGAGAGAGAAAACTATCGAGAGAAGGACACGAAGCACTACAACAGAGCGCTCCGAAAAAGGATTCGCTCGCACGGCAGCGTACGCATGCCGTGCCAGCGCACTGTGTGCAAAAATGTGAAACCAAAAATAGATTATCATGATTTTGCTGCGTGCAAAACCCAGCCAGTTTGGAAAGTGCATCGTATACGCGCGTAGCGATCGCGTATCGACGCACTGGAGCGCTGCCAGTGCGTGCATGCAAAAAAGGAAAATAAATAAATCAGAAAAAATGCAGTTCAAATAAATCGACAGTTCGATCGAAGAGATCAAATAATCCCACACATGCAATTCATTTCAGAACAAGATTATAGAGCGAAGCTAGTCATGTGTCAAGCTACCTTACTACAAATACTTACTATACCTAGAACTTAGCTATGGGCAGCGGACCTGGACCCTATCGCTCCTGGGATATACCTTAGGTAAGAGTGCGACGAAAGACAAATTGTAAATACGGTAAATTCAAATGGCACTCGCAACATGTATTCAAATATTGACAGTCCGGCATTCGCACATATTGCGACACTCCCGCCGAGAACAGTAAGCCTAGGTCTAGGACAAACATGCATGCTCAAATAATTAAACTAAACTGAATCCGACACAATCAATTGTCTTAGCTGTTCCATACTCCTTTTGGCCGCTTGCCTCTTGCTTTGACTTCTGTGCCGCCGTGCACTGTACCGCCGTCATTGTGGATTGGCTGCTGATCATTATCTGCAGCGCCGTTGTCGTTTGTTACCGAGCCGCCGTCCGCCGAAGCGTTGTTTGCCGAATCGTTTTTTCATTATTATTAATATTCAGTTCCATCGGGTACAGCAAATTGAGTGGTCGCCTTAGCGTCTTGGCGCTTGGCAATTCAACTGTTGCTGACCTTACATTATTGTCGTTGCTCCAGTGTATTTTGTTAATTTTCCCAATTTTCCAAGTGCCGCATGGCATCTTTTCCTCTTTCACTAGTACGATATCCCCTGTACTTGGCTTACGCTCTACGGCACCTCGCTTCTCGGGCGGCCGGTAACTTCCATGTTCACGCAAACTACTCAGATAGCCGGTCTGCCACAGTTTTCCCAAAGCTGGAAAGGATAGTGGCACCAACACGATACGTTTCCACCAAAGTCTGCGCCGAGCTTTGTGTTCATTATAGTCAGTATCATCCATTACACTAATTGCAGGCATCCCTAGCCTGGGATTCATCGTAACAAAATGAGATGGGGTGAGGATATCGTCACCATCCATCATGTCTCCCACATACAATAGTGGCTGCGTATTGACTATTGCTTACGCTTCTGCAAGAACCGTGGTTAATTCCGTTGTGGACAAACATTTTCGACCAAATGACTTACGCAGGGCGCGCTTTACGACCTGCACCATTCGTCCGTAGATGCCGCCCATCCAAGGGGACAGCTCCACAATAAATGTCCACCTAGATCCAGTAGCACTTAGGTACGAATGTACATCTGGATCTTGAGAAATTGTATCCCACAATAGTTCTATTGCTTCCTTAGCCACTTTAACCTCTTTAGCACGACGCTACCTGAGCACGCCCCACGTCAACACCTATAAAAGTCACATTTTCCCATGAAAGTACTAGCTGCTCAAGGATCGATAACTTTACCTTCCCTTGGACGAATTCCACGATCTTGAGCTTCCTGGAAAGGTTTTGAGACGAGGGACAAACTGGTTTCAAACCCAGCTCGGAGCGAAACCAAAACCCCATGCTACAGTCTGGCAAACTTCATCAACGCGCTCGACAGACTTGAGCACGGCCAAGACCAACCGAGCTCAAATATTCAGCTGCCATTTCGGTCTTGCTCGTATCGAGCTCAATTTTTTTGTGAGGACTCACGGGATCCACTGCCATCATTTGAATCTTATTTCCATGGCAGCAGGTAGCGCAAAAATGATCCATGATGGAAAATACGCGTTCTGCCGACTGCGCAAAAAATCGAGTCGAAATTTGCCGTGTCGAGTAGCATATCTCAACAACCGGTAATCGCATCGCTTCGGCGATTGTTTCTATCGCCAGCTGAGAGTTTTCTCTTGCAGATACATATTTCGATTGTGAGAATTGACCAAGTATTGAGTGAGTTACAATAGTTTGAAAAAGTCACTATGGACTCAACACGGACCCCACGACTATGAAATGCAGGTTCACTGTACAGTGTACAGCGCGCGTCGTACTAGTATTGGGTGTTCCTCGTCTTGAAACAAATCTTCTCAATGCAAGCACAAATGCAGCAGCAGTCATGTCATCGACTAATTCCAAATGTACTGCTCTATTAGTTAGGCAAGTGAATAAGCAAACCCATACCTTAGTGGTTACTCCTGATTGTTTCACGTACATTGGCCCAAAGTAGTCCAAGCCGGTATACGAAAAGGCACATGATGTAGTTAACCGATCGCGTGGTAGGGGTGCCAGCCGTGGCATTTTGAATGGGCCACCCTCTGCCTTGCGACATACATTGCATTGTTTAAGGATACGCTGCACCCGGCCTTGCGGTACCCAATATTCAGTACGAAGTAACATCAGTGTATGACTCGCACCGCCATGCATTAGCCGTTTGTGACATTCTTCAATTACTTCGAGTAGCAAAGTTGTGATTATTCCGTGTTTGCGTATTAGGACTGGGAATTTAGACCGTTGCGGTATATTTGCATTTTCCAACCGTCCTTTGCACCGCATTATTTCGTTTTCATCCATAAACAGGCCGAGTTTGTTGGCTAGATCATTTCGCTTTCCTTTCTGAATTAACTTGAGCGTGTGTGGAAATTCCGTACGTTGCAAATGTCGTAGCCAAACCATTGTCGCATTCTTGAGCTCTTGTGATGTAAGAAACCCATTACATTTATTACCACGCATACATTCGATGGCTCTCAAAACATTATGCTGAGACACGTATTAGTTTTCCCCAAGACGAATACCTTTCTAAATTCATTATCATTGGGTACTCCGTAGGACCTTCCGCCGCCGCCAGTAAGGTGTTGGCAGACTTCTCGAACTCCACGGTGTTCGCAGGAATCACCAACACTGATGGCCAACCTTGCTCATTGTTAATCCACTGGGGCCCGTGCCACCAGTTCTTGTTATTTTTCAGCGTGTCCACCGTGGCCCCGCGAGAAGGAGTGTCTGCGGGGTTTTCAGCTGTGTCTACATACCGGTACTCAACCGACGACAGAGACCGGATTTCATTCAAGCGCCGGTCCACGAATGTACCGTGTTTTTCAGGTTTCTTGATCCAATGTAACACACATTGCGAATCAGACCACAGCACCAGTCTGGGTTGTTCCGAGAAATTCAATTGTGAGAGTACAAATCGTAACGACCGAATACCAATCAAGGCCGCCATTAATTCTAGTCTTGGTATTGTTAATTCCTTGATGGGGGCTAGGCGGGTTTTACTGAACACGAGATGACAAGAGTCACAACCTGACTGCTCGTCGACAACCGCAAGGTACACACACGCTGCATATGCTGTATGAGAGGCATCACAAAAACAGTGAAGTGCGTATGTGACTGCTCCGGTGTGTGCGACTGTCATCCGTCT